GTTTATGTTACTGTCTGACTTTCCCCCTAGAACGTAACTCCTTACAAGGGCAAAATCAAGCTCTTAAATTTTTGGTTCTTTGCTGTACCCCCGCCCAGAACGGTGCCTGGCGCAAAGCAGGCACTGCAGCAGGTGACTGGAGTGAGTGGGGAGGGAGAGGGAGCCAGGGCAGCCCCTGGAGCCCCGGGGCCACGCTCACCTGCTCACAGATGGCTCCGGTCATGGTGACGGGGAAGGGCCTGACATTCCCTCGGCCCAAGTTCTCGCGTTTCCTCTGGTTGCTGAAGAGCTTCAGCTCCCGCTTCTCCTCTTCATCCAGGGAGTTGCAGTATCGGACCTGAGGGGACACACAGGGTGGCGGGGAAGAGTCGCTTGCACCCTTTGGGCTGCCTGAAGCTCATGCCTCAGTTTTCTCATTAAACACGCTCCTGTTTGGTTTTATGGTCCTGGCCTGTACTTTACCACCCCCAGGCTTGGGGACATTTGAAACGAGCATCTCCCTAAGACTACTGACAGCCAAAAGAACTTACTAAAGGCACTGAACTCTGGAGCCCAAGGTTTGGGCAGGATGCAGGTCTACACCTGCTCCCCACCCTTACTGCCTCACTCCGTTCCCCACACTAAGACCCAAATCCCAGATCTGGGGCTTTCTCCTTCTTTCAAATGGATCTGCAGCTTCAAATTGATTGTGGGGCCCTGATACTCTCATGCCCGTGTGCCCACATAAGTGGTTCCTGGCACAAATGGACTGCTCCAGGCCAGTGAGCCAGAACCACTGTCAGTGGGCTCACAGCTTCTCTCCTCCCATCTCATTATTGGGAAAATGGGGAACCAAAGGCTTGAGAATGAAGAGATGGCTCAGAAGCATCTGTGTGGCTTCATGGGAGTCCCTGCCTGACTCTCTGTGAGCAGGAGGAAAGAGCCGCCTGCTGGGCTTTGGTTAATGCATCAGCTTGCATTAAGCTATGCTCCGTCTTATCAGACACAGACACAGATACACAAGTAAGGGAGGGACATCAAAGGCATTCAATCCAGTATTTCCACCTTCCCCGATGTCTGCACACCTTGAGAATTCTGTCATAGTCTTGAACTATTACTTACTTAATACTGTTTTAAAACTGACTCACTTTTTAAAACCTGAATATGTTTACGTAAAAAGAAAGTGTATTATGATTATAAATGGAAAATCAGAATTACCTGTAAAAAACAAAGGGTGACCATAAACTAGACAGAGTGAGAACCAAACCACGCTGTTAGATTCTACTTGGCTACTTCTGCTGTGGGAGATCCTGAAATGTGGATTCTTAATGCTGCAACTTCAGAGTGGATGCCAGGAGGACCTGCAGAAGTGTGCTACACCTGCTAGCACCAAACTGAAATGTCCCCCGTGATCATTTAACCAGTCAGGTACGAGGAATGAAATACAATTTAAATGGAAGTGACTCACTCATTACATGGTTCAATTTTATTTACTGCCTTGTCCATGTTCCACCTTAAGTCCTGTATGTATCTACCTCATTTTGGGAAACATTGTCTTAATCCCACTGCCTGTCTTACTTTAGAATAATCTGAGCATCAGAAAGGTTAACTGACGTGCTCAGATGGTTTGTCATCCAGATACAGGGAACCTCTGAACTAGACTGGTGCAGCCTAATTTGAAAACCAGGGCAGCTGTAGATACCAAGGTTGTCTTCTCGGAGGAAAACAGAATGACCAAATATTTACTTTAGGGTCACCCTCTGTTCTCCAAAGGGCCAGTCAAATGGGTGAAATCTGCCTACTGGGCCAAATGCAAGGAATTCTCACCAACAGGAAAAAGGCATTCGTGGGGTCTCTGATCATGAAACCACAGTTAACCTTAAACAGAATAAACCATTAAAAGCAGAAAAGAGCAGATCAGGTCCCTCTATCATGTAAAAAAGAGTTAATGGAAAAACCGTCTTCACATAGATATCCCAGGCAGAGAACTGCAGGAAGAGAGCAGCCCAGAATACCTGGTTACACCACTGGCTTTTTATGGACCTGCTTTTAAAGAAAGGCACACCCCTCCTGTCTGTAAAACCCACATTTTCACTTCCAAATTAGTTAACTGGGCATCAGGTTACAAGGCTTGCTCTCAGCTTTAAAGACAAAGCATTACTTATACATTTTTTATGAAGTCTGAAATAAACAATAGGAGGGGGAAGCGTGGCTCTCGAGGAGATGCTTCAGTGCTTAAGCTTCTGCTCCACTCATTCAAATTTTCCTGTGTGGCTCCTGATTTATCTTTTCATTCAAATGTGGGAAGGTAAAGACTAAAAAAATCAGTCATTTCCCCTGGGATCTAGCTTGCAGGTGAGGCAGGGGGTAGAAACCTGGTGTCTCACTCTCCAAAGGGGTTCTCTCTCTTTTCAATTGAAAATTCTATTGAAAATTATATTTTTGTTTAAAATGCAATCAGAGTTCAGCAGACAATTCAATTCTATGGGGTCAGTAATTTTACAAACAAGATACTTAAAAATTAATTTCTAGTTTACAAATCTAAACCCCTCAAGCATGATGGTCTTTTTTAAAAGGGTATTTAAAAATTTCCCTTTATGATCAATTTATCTTCGAAAATAAGAAATGCCTGCTTACAGCACCGTGGGTCTGGGTTCAGAGAAAGGACAGCCTGCAAGCCATACTTTCAAGGGTACAAAGGATGACCTTAGCGAGTTGGACTTTACCTGACAAAAGCTCAGATTTTCAGAAATGCAAATCTGGACACATAACTTCTGCTGTGTCATGTGGGAAATGTGCACACTCACTGAACGTGAAATGATGCTGAAAATTCAAGAGAGTCACACAGTTTCTGCAGGATTTGAACTGCCTGGGGAATCTCAATCGTCTCATGTGCTCAGGAAACCAGCCTCGTACATTCTTCTTCAACTAAGAAAACCTGGACTTGACCTTTACATTTTAGTGCTCCCTGGTTAACCCCAAATAGCTGGCAGTGCCAGGCACAGAGGTGAATCCAGCTCAGAGTGAGAGATCGCTTTTTGGTAATGTTCTGCAGAAGGTGTCTGACAGTTCCTCTTGGCTCTAATTAAGGAAGCTGAAACCTAAACTAAATTGCCCGAGTTTTTCTTTGGAGACCTCACTGATCACAGCATTCTATTGGTGGAAAGGCAGAGATTCAGAGAAGGTTCTAAGAAGAGTTTTCCTAAGGTCCCTCCAGCCCCTTACCTCATTGTCATGTGGCGGCAGCTGGTGTAATAGCTGCTTGATCCGCAGTTTCTCTCCGGGACTGTTGACATAAGGAACCTTCTCTTCTGGGAGACAGCTATAGTACTGGTGAACCTGAGGGTGAAGAGCGCACAGATAACTGGTCCATTCCCACTTTCTGGGAAGGATTCCCACAGCAGGACACGATCTACTCCCACTGTCCTCACCCTGCACGGAACGCAACAGCATGCGTTTCTCACTGCAAGCAGAGAAATCCACCCCTAAAGAAAGAGTCCAGCAAATCGCCCATCTCTGGGGGGCTTTCCCCCTCTCTACAAGAAAAAACTAAAGCCAGCAAACTTTCCTGGAAAAAGAGAAATCGGCAAGCACGCGGGTGAACCCGGAGGGTAGGGCTTTCTCGGGAGGCTCCCCGGAAAGCTGACTTTACCATTTTCTCTGTTAGTCTCCAGCGTGTAACAAGCCTCCTGTGCCAACGGGATATGTCAGTGCCTGCCCTGGCAGCGCTGGAGCTTTTGGCACTCAGCAAACTCCTAGGTCCCTCAGCCTCCACCTACGTTAAAAGCCCTCCAGGTCTTGAGCCCTTTGCGAGGACAGGAAACAGCTCCCATCTCTCAGAAAAAGTCACCAGATCTGGGATACAGAGCATGTAATGAAAAGTCGCCATTAATAAGAGGATTTCTGTACATCCTAGACTACTCCTGCTTATGAGAGTCAGGACAGATTCTCGCACTTTCTAAGGCTCAGTTAACCCTGATGACTTTGGAAAGTACCAAGCATCTGATTTTGCCTGAGAAAAGAAAACATTCTATCACACAGCTGCATGTAAAACTAGGGAAAGAAAAAAACTGACCAAAACAGGAGGCATGCTATTATATAGGAGAGACCAAACAAACAACAACAAAAAACTCCCACAAGCTCAGATGACATCATGGAAAATACTTTCGACTACCTCTTAGCAGCATCCCGACAAGCTCTTGGGAAACAAAGCTTTCATTCAACATAAGAGAGAAGAAAGACGACTCGGGGCTCCAAAGTCGTCATATTCGCTACAGTCCACAAGCTTGGTCCAACTCCCCGAGTTTAGGGAGTCTTGGATATGCACACATGTTCTGGGAACGCCGGGATGAACAGTTACGAAAGCTCTGTCTACTTTGATCTCCAGAAATGAAGTCATAAGTGTTAGAAGAGAAGGGAGAAAAGGCTTTGCAATGACAAGGCCTTAAAAAAATGTGAAAGCCATCTTTATTTTCGTAACAAATAATCGTAACCATTCACCATCACGTGCATATCATCCTCTTGATCAAATCCCAAAGGCAACCATAAACAGACTTCTTGTCCTAGACTAGCTGGCTTTGGGGAGCCGGGGCCTCCTCAACTGCTCCCCGCAGGCACCTGGCAGGGAGCCAGTCCTGGGAGGGGAAGGAACGGCTCCAGGTTCGCGCCGCCCACAGGTTACCAGCCGTCTCCCAGAGACAAGACGCAAGCCCAGATGATGAGCTCCTTTGGAATTAGAAGCTGGTGCTGAGCCCCAGAGACCCGCGCCCTATGGCTCCTCAGGTAAGTGCCAGGTAGAAAAAGCAGACCCCAGCTGTGCGTCCTGGAGAAGGGCTTTGCCTCCTGTCAAAGAATTGCTTGTAGAAAGGCCTTGCTGCAACAACACTGCCATTCTCACAACTCCCATGACAGTTATGGAACCTTAGGGACAGATGCTAACATAGAGTGACTCACTGGGGGCGCTGGCTAATGAGCAGTCTAAATTGAGCTTGACTGACCCCCTCTCAGTCGCCCCTCATTATTGACACAGCCCCCTCTTCACTACTCAGAAAAGTCATTCCTGAGAGCCCTTCTGAATTAGCACCTGCCGAGGCCCCTATGATACTGTCCAGGGCTGGCCCAGGTGGGAGGCTTCCCTGAACTTTCCTTGGCATGGCCAGGAAAGATGTGCACCCCCTCACCCCCGCCCCGGCTGGACCATGTGCCACCTGTGTGTCCTCAGCAAGTTACATTAACCACTCAGAGGCCTCATTATAAGATTGGGGCAATGAAATGAGACTATAGGCAGAGCATTTGCCCCTCAATGACAGTAAATAACATGAATGTATAGCAATCATTAAATTATCCAGCCTGGGATACTCCAAATGGAACAATCCATAGGCTTCCTGGACTTTCTTCCGTTTTAAAATGTAGGGCAACGCTGTCAGCTTATAGAGTGAGACCAAACCCTGGGACATGCCCTCCCCTTAGTCTAAGCAAGAAGGTTTGCAAGGAATAAAATGCTATTTAAGCAAGCTTGATTTCAGAGATAAAAACGGCAAGTTATTATAAAGGTGTGATGTTTTCTCCAGAAACACAGTAGTGTACTCTGGCCTTATGAGAATATGGAACCTGCCACTGGCAGGTGATGGGTCAGGGGTTCTCATCTCTCCACACTCAGTGTCCTCTATTCTCTCTCTCTGCAAATCTGCTCCTTACCTTCTCAGAGCTTAAGGTTTCCCATAAAACTTGAGTTTATACAACCTCGGTTCCTAGATTGACTTCTTTGCTCAAATCCAAATTCCCGAGAAAGACCCTGACTGCCCGTGTTGGGCAAGGTCCAAGAAGCTGGACCTTGGGCTAAAGAAGTTGCATACATTTGACACTGGAGGGTAAAGGAGTCCCCAACATGCAATGATGGAGAATTCCAGAAGTTCTTGGGAGGTAAATAAACATCTTCGTATGCTGAGGGCCATCCTGAAGACTCCGAATTCTTTTTTTATTTTATATTATTTTTCAATTACAGTTTACATTCAATATTATTTTGTATTAGTTTCAGATGTACAGCATAGTGGTTAGACAATCATACACTTTACAGAGTGTTTCCCCTGATATTTCTAGTACCCACCTGGCACCTTACATAGTTATTACAATATTATTGACTGTACTCCCTATGCCGTATTTTATGTCCCCGTGACTATTCCGTAACTACCAATTTGTACTTCTTAATCCCTTCACCTTTTCCACCCGGTTCCCCAATCCTCCTCCTTTCAACCATCAGTCTGTTCTCTGTATCTATGAGGCTGTTTCTCTTTTGTTTGTTCATTTATTTTGCTCTTTAGATTCCACATATAAGTGAAATCCTATGGTATTTGTCTTTCTCTGACTGACTTATTTCACTTAGCATAATATCCTCTAGGTCCATCCATGTTGTCACAAATGGTAAAATTTCATTTTTATTTTTGGCCGAGTAATATTCCATTGTATAAATGTACCACCACTTTTTGTACCCACTTGTCTACTGATGGGCACTTGGGTTGCTTCAACAGGGGCAGTGACTACTCTTTGGGGACATAGCTCTATTTTTCCTGGCCTAACATCTCATGTTGCCTTTTATAATTCAAGCCAACTGACTACCATCACTGAAAATGTGTCCTTTCTACCATCATTCCAATAATTCTTCAAATATGGAATGTGCTAAAATATTGCCTCACAATAATTTGGTGGATGATTTGAAACCCTACCTAGTTAGTGAGATGCACCTTTATTAAAATGAATCAGCTAATATTAATAAATAAATCACCTACCAAATCACTCCCAAGTCCTGGGGTTAGAAAAATCACTTTCTAACCTGGCTGCGAGTTGTACGCCCCAGGACATGGGAATTACCCTTGGAATGCGGACCATTCTCCTTTTCTGAGAGCTTTCCCATCATCATGGAAAGATTAGCAGCTTTGTTTCTGAAACGATGGAATTCTGTAGACACCTGCCCTTTGCAACCCCCAGCCCACATTGCCTGTAATCTGGTCCTGGAGGTGACCGCCCTTTTGCGAGCCACTTGTGACACCCAGCCCACTTTGCCTACTCCCCATGCCTGTAATTCCTACTTTCCCATGTAATCTTTGTCCTTCTACCCAATATAAGCAGCTGGCTTTTGGGGGGGGGGG